GGGGGCCCACCCCCCCCCCGACAGCCCCACTTGTGCACGGCTTGGGGGAGGGGCGGGGGCCGCACACTCGGGGGAGAAACTGGCTTTGGTCCCAGGCCCTTGTGTCTGCCCGTTTGACCAGGTATAATGAAGGACGGGTCACAGCAGTGCATGCTGGGAGTTGGTGCCCCATACAGCCTTCACCCTGTGGCCCATGCTGCCTGGGGGCAGGGCGCAGGCAGCTCCCCCCCGCGCAAAGCTGAGCCAGCATTAGTTCTGTGGCTCCTGCCCCATAGCCTAATGCACTAGGTGAGAAGTTGGGGTCCAGCCCCCCTCCCATGCCCAGGTAACGCGTCTGCCTTAGCTTCCAGCCAGGCCTCCAGGCACTGGCCTCCATCTCACCCCCCCCAGCATCCTGGGGGAGCCCCAGCTGGGCTGTGTTCATGCCTCGCCCCTGCTTCTGCAGAGCGGGGCGCAGCGTGTCCGTGTCCGCATCCGCACGGCAGGTTTTTAAGCTCTCCAGGCTCAGCCAGGCCTCTTGCTACAGCAGAAGGCACTTTGCGTAGAAGCTGCATCCTGCCCTGGACACGCCAGAGCCCTGCCGCCCCCACGGGGATGCACCATTTCTGGGGGTAGGGGTGCTGCTGCTGCACCCCTGGTTGGAAGCAGGACTAACCCCACATGCAGGGCTCCCCGCAGCACCTGTTTCTGTGTAACTCACACTGCCCAGCCACCCTCCTGGGGGACCACGAAAGGCCAAGTCCATGGTCCGAGCCCAGCCAGAGGCGCATTGGGGCGCATTGCCCTGGAAATCCCACACACCGCCTCCCTGGGACCCGCCTGTCGGCCTGGGCCTGGCTGAGTGGTCAGTTTCACAACACAAGCAGCACCTTGCGCAAGAGCCCTTCGCGCACTTCTCGCCACGCAGCACCTCCCGTGCGGCCCGCACCCCCTCGCTGCAGTGCAGGAGGCTCTGGGGAAACGCGGAGCAGAGCCAGCCCTCACCGGGAGCGAGCAGCACGGAGGGGCAGGGATTATGATGCACATTAGCTGGGTCAGGCCTGTCTGTCCTTTTCTCCCAGATCTTATCTTTGTACCTGAGCTGTTCACAACTGCCGTGTTTGTTCCACAAGCACCTTTCAGAGGCAGCTGGCTCTGCAGCCCCTTCCTGCCTACCCAGCTCCCCGCTCTCTTACCTAGTCTTCAAATGCTTTGGAAGGCTGGTTCCAACTAGAGTGGATGGCAAGCCCCCATTTCCAGCTAGCAGCAGGGATGTTAACTGGCACGTTAAGTGGCTACCCGTAAGCATCACCCATAGGCTGTGTCTGCACGTGATCTTGCACCAAAACGTGCTGCCTGTCTACACTGGCCACGAGTCCTTGTGCAAGAACATTCCAATGTGTGAAATCAGGGCTCCTTGCACAAGAACTCTGATGCTCCCGCTCAGGAATAAGCCCCCTTGCTCTTGCACAAGAAAGGCCGCTGGTTAAAGTGGCCATTGGCGCTTTCTTGCGCAGGAGAGCGTCCACACTGGCACGGAGGCTCTTGCGCAAAGGCACATGCCAGTGGGGACGCGCTTCTGGAAGAGGTTTTGCACAAGATCATGCCAGTGTAGACGTAGCCATAGTGAGTCATCCAGCCTGATGGGCCCCCCCACGAGCTCTGCAGGACAGGAGCTGTGGCAGCAGCCCCCACGGCAAGGGGGGGGGGAGGTGGGGCTGGAGTGGCCTTCGCTCAGTGCCATGCCATGCCGCACTGCTAGCGCAGGCAGCACGCCGGGGGAGGCGAGCTCCGGGCCGCAGCAGGGTCACACAAAGCACTTGTTTTACTCCTAAGGGCTGGCAGTGGAAGGGAGGCTGCTGTACCTGAGCAGCTGGGAAGAACCAGCCCAGGCCGAAGGCAAAGGCCTAAGATCCAGGACTCCCTGGGTTCAGCCCTCTGCCAGCGCTTCCCACTGCTCTGGGCCCCAAGCACCCAGCTCCAGGTGGGGCTCAGCAACCTGGTGCAATGCTCACGCGCTATTGCAGGGGTGGGCAAAATGGCTCCCTCCCTGCTCACCCCCAGCTGGGGGGGCTGTGTGCACGTCTGTGGGAGGCAGGGGAAGACTGAGCTGACCCCACCCCCACAGCTGCTATTGGCTGGGTTCCACCCCCGCTGTCAAGTTCCCCTCCCTTGGGCCCCCCAGCATTCACAGCACAAGGCCCCAGCAGCCCATGCCCAAGACAGTAAAAGCCTGGCTGAGGGCCCTGCTGCCCTGGCAAGAACCTGCCTCCGGCACCCCAGACCCTCCCTCCCCCAGTCCTGACCCCTCTGCACCCTCTCCCAGACCCAATTCCTTGCCCCAGGTCACAACCCCCTCCTACATCTCTCCATCAGGTCAGAATCCTCTCCTGCGCCCATACCCCTTCCGGACCCTTCCCCCCACTCCTTCCACCTGCCACCCCAGACCCACATCTCCTCCAAGGGCCGGTCTCTTCCATAGTAACCACTTACCAAATGCGTGGAGGGATCCCGTGAGGCAGGGGACTGGACTCGATGGCTCCTTGAGGTCCCTTCCATTTCCAGTGTTCCACGATTCTACATAATTGCCCACCCCTGTACTGTAAGTGATGGCAGATGAGCAGCTGAGAAGACAGGAAATGGAGGGCAGTTCCAGTTGTGTAGAAATCCCTTAAGATAGCCATCTCTCCCTGTGAGATCCTGAAAGGGCTTCTCTGCCCCATTTTTGTGAGTCTCTGTCCTTCAGCCTGTGTCAGCCTGTTACCCTCCGTTCCGGTTTGCAGGCAAAGCAGCAACACCGAGTGGTAGCAATTCCTTCTTATGCACTGATTGCACGAACTGGATTCCCCTATGGCTCCCATCCCTAAAGTACACGAGCAGCTGGGATCCCCCAAGAACGTCCTTTAGTTGACTTTATTGTTCCCGATACATGTGCATGTGGCCGACCAGAAGCCAGTTTGGCTAAACCAGAAGGCGCTCGAGATCAATCAGATGAACAGAGCTTATGTAAAGGTCTCATCTGAAATGAAACAACCACACGATGGCAGCAGCAAGCAAACCCCGAAGCAATTTGCAAAGGGATGAAGTCATGATACACTGAGAACCTTCCATTGTCTAAAAAGCTCTGCACAGGGTCTGACTGAGCCATGGGGTAAAGCGGGGAGAGCTGCGGAAGCTGCTGTGTAATTAACGCAGCATTCGTGGTGTTACAAACGTAGCCAGGGTAAGACCGGAGCAGCGCATTGCACACAGCAAGCCAGTTTCCTGCAATGAGAGTAATGAGCTGACATGGCTAGCTCAGTGCAGACGTCTCTTCCTGTGCTCTGGTAACACCCACGTCCTGCAGACTAGCTCCTGAGAAGTCTGCCATGCTGCACCTAAGGGCAGGTGTTTGGGACAGGGCTTCACTCTCACCTGTGGAATGGCATCAAACGGCTCTATCACCCGCCCCCCCATAGTACATAAGGAAGCTTCAAGCCACTGAAACTGCGCAGAGCGCCCCCAAAGCCTCCCAGGCCATCACTGAGTTACGACACACGAGCCCACAAGTGGTTTTACAAAATTTATTCTCTCATCTGCCCAGCTCTTGGTGGATGCGTTTAGATGATTCCAATCTGAAAGGAAACAAAAGGAACGTTACAGCCTGTACCCTAACCACAGGGAGACGGAGACTCTAGGAGGTAGAACTGCGGCAAGGATACATCTCCCCCAAGAAAACGCTAATCCTATGCAAACATCCCTTCCACCCCACAGGCCTTCCTGCCTGCCTCAGCTCAAAGCAAGTGCAATCTTGCCTACAACAGAGTAGAGGAACATTTACGGAGAATATCCTGGCACAAGATGATGCATAAGAGCCCTTCTAAAATGCCTTTTACAACCATCCTATGATGAACTTTTGTGGTAGGCTGGTGAGGCTGCTGTAGAACTAATTGTCCCCTCCCCACCACCACCCAGTAAAGCAAAACAATTCCCACCCTGTCCCAGCAAGTGTCTGGAGTATCTGTGGAACTCGTGTGGCAAATGCTAACAGCTGGCAAGTCGCTTGGATAGCATAGGTTGTGCCAGAGAAGCTTTTAGAAGAGCTCCAAGAGATTTATTCCCCCATTCAGAGACTGTAAGCAAGATTTATAGAGCTTGTCTCATCCCAAAGTACTTCCCACGCCATCTGCGTATGATCACTGCTCCTAAGCTGCAATACAGGCCCTCTCCTTGGAGGGAAAAGGGGAACTGAGTCTGCCAGCAACGCTATGCAGCATTATGGAGAGAGTAAGGGAGAACTGGCTCTGCCGGCTGAAAATGCTGGGTACAGTTTTGCCTGCTCTCAGGCAGAGCTCATGAATTTGCTCAGGGCCATTTGTTCCTCACTGCTGATCAGTATCCCAGTGTCCACATTTCCAGTGGAAGCCAAAGTACCGCCCCAAAAGAAGAGCCCTGACCTCAGCTCGATGTCAAAACAGACCCTGACTGAGGCAGAGTCGAGGGGGGCAGATGGGGAGTGAGAAGAGTCAAGAGCCTCACCTTGTTGGCTACATCCAGTGCATCGTAGTCTGGTGCAAGTCGCACATAAGCCTTCTTCTCACCATCCGGCCTACAATGAAGCATGAGGCATTAGTACCCACGAGCCCTCTTTCTTTTCCAGTTGCACGGGCCGTGCTGTGCATCAGTGGTTCCTTTGATAACATCACTGTACTCAGGTGAAGCTGTTTTCCATCATTTGCACAAAGAAATCCCCTTTCCTGCTCCAATCAACTGGCTGGTACTTCAACATTGCTGGACATTCCTCTCAGCCAGTGATACTGAACCTCTCAGCCAGTGACAGGTCTTCCAGTTACATCTATCTGCTAGACTAGAGTTTCGTTCAAGCCAGGTACTTTCTCTCAAGCTTTTTAATCAATTATCTGCTTAGCCATCGCGCAAAGCACTTTGAAACATCTTACACGTACAAGTGCTCCATCTCCTTCCCACTTACCCACGTCACTTACCGGATCAACGTATTGACCTTGGCCACATCAATATCATACAGTTTCTTGACAGCCTGTTTGATCTGGTGTTTGTTGGCCTTGACATCAACAATGAAGACCAGGGTGTTGTTATCCTCGATCTTCTTCATGGCTGACTCCGTGGTCAGAGGGAACTTGATAATAGCATAGTGATCAAGTCTGTGGAGGGGGGAAAGCATTTGAGTTGCATAACTGGCAGCAACAGAGAAAGCCTCTTCACGCGAATAGTCACTTTTGCTCTAGGAAACATCAGGTTACATCAGTCGCTAGCAAGATTGTAATCACAAGTAGGGATGTAAAATCCTGTTTAATTGGTTAACCGGATAAACCAGAACCAGTAAACTTCACCTGTTAAGGGTGAAGCTTACAGGTTAACCATTCACACCCTTAATCATAAGCTCTCAGGCTGTTTAGTCGCATGGAATCATCATGTGCCTTATAACATTAAGCTTAAGTTGTTAAGAAAGCTGCCAGGACATTGTTAGTTTAGTTTCCAAAACAGCTTTTCCAGTCACTGAGGCCAGATCGACACTAGACTCCTGTTTGCAATGTTACTTCAAGGTGTGATTTTCTGCAGCGTCTTTGTACCAGCAAAGCCCGAGTGTAGATGCAGTTGTAAGGTTGAACTCTGGTCCGGAACCCTCAGGATGTGACCGGTGCTGAGCCAGGGAATTTGCCAACCCAGGAGGTCAGTATTGTCCAGCAGCATTACTAACACTCCCACTGCTCACTGGGCTCTGAAGACATTTAGGGGAAAACTGGAGCTAAACAGCACAGAACCCTGAGCCAGGAACTGGGGGCTGTAAACAAACTTTATGGGACTGCAGGAAACTTGGCCACACCCCTGATAAACAGACATCCGGCTCCCTAAAATCCTGCTGGACCAGAGAGTGCCAGCCTCGAGAAGTTCAACCTGTACCATTAAAAAACAACTTGTTTCATGCACTCTTTTGGTATCTGCAATAGGAGGGTTTGCTGGTTCTGCAACACATCAAGCTCTTCTAACAGAGACTTGACCTAAAACTACTAGCTTGTATTTTAGCTATGATTCTCCAATATAAATTTACATTTAACAAGTGAAGTATCTTCAAAAAGAAGAATGTGACAAGATGACTAACACCAAGCTGGTTTTAGCTCAAGGACCATCACGCTGACGGAGATGGGGGAAGGTGGCTGCTTGGACTGGATAGATACAGGTGGCCCCTGACTTGTGACCGTTTGCATTCTGACCCCCCCACACTTACAACCATTTTTGTAAGCGTGGAAGGGGCCAAAAACCCCCGACTTACATCCTCAGCCCGCATTCAGCGCCTACTGTAAATGAGGGTTCAAGTGACGATGCCCCCGACTTGCGACGTTTCCCCAGGAACCAATCGTGTTGCAAGTCGGGGGCCTCCTGTACTAGAGGAGCACTCTTCCTGGGATATTTGGGCTGTCTCCGTAATCGTAAAGTTTTGGGCCTCCTGAAGGTGGGAGACGTCCTGATTTTCTTCTTCTTGTGACTGTGGACTCCTTTCAATACGGCCTTTTTAGCCTTCAGAGCCTTGGATTTTGCCTCAGTCTTAGCAGGGACAGCTACACAGAAATGACTGGTTACTGGAGGGTGCTAGCAGTAGCTGTGGACCGTGACAAGGCTCTAGACACAAAGCACTAATCCCTATTAGCAGCCTCTGGGCTGTGTCACCAGACCTGGCCAATTACGGTCAACTTTGGGTCTTGCCCTTGTCTCTGGGCAATACCTGCGGCGGACCCGCTCACAGATCGGGGAGCGAAAAGGAAACTCGGGTCACCCCCGACAGACCAGAGGAAACTCAGGGTCAGGTTGGCGAGGCAGCTGGAGGCTTCCCAGGGCTTCAAGGCGGGTGGAGCCCCACTAGGGGAATGACCAGCCCCCCCTTTCACCAGGGGCCTCGCTCGCCCCCCGCCTTGCCCACAGCCCCCCCAGCGCTCCAGCCCCACACCTTG